CTCTCTCTCTCTCTCTCTCTCTCTCTCTCTCTCTCTCTCTCTCTCTCTCTCTCTCTCTCTCTCTCTCTCTCTCTCTCTCTCTCTAGATGATACGATGACCGTCCGTATAGGTGGCAGTGTGTGCGTTTTTTTTTTTTTTTTTTTTTTGTCCCCCGTTTTGCAGTGACCCCCTCCGGCTTCCGACTTATGTGAACGTGGGCGTTCGCTGAAACGGCACCTGTCAGTGTCCAACATTTGAGTTTTTTTTTATTTTTTCGATCGGTTTTGTGATGTTGTTATCTGGATTTGTACTTTTGTTACGTTTGTGTCGTCGCGGATATGTCGGCTGTCATTGTCATACGATTGACAATGGTGCTTCCAGTTGTGAATGTTTTTTTTGTTTTCATCGTTGATTTGTCATTTGTTTTTGGATTTTTGTTGTTTTATATTTTGGCGGTTGGTTTGTGTTTTCGTCGTGTCTTTTTCTTTGTTTGTTGTATATATATATATATATATATATATATATATATATATTACAAAACGAGTTTGCGAAAGGACCCACATCGGAAAAATATTTTGTTGGTTTACAGATTACTGAAGTTTTTTCCCGGAAATGGAGGCCCTGTCCAATCATCCAGGAAGTGGTTCCGTCCCGTCCAAGTTTGGCCAGGTACCCAAATATCGCGTGGTAAAAGCAGAAGGTACACGGAGATCAGAATCACCATCAAGAAAAAAAAAAAAGAACATTTGAAAAAGATTGTCGGTTTTCAAGATGCAGCCACGATCAACTGGTTCTCAAAATTGAGTCAGCAAAAAAGTTATCTATTTTTTATGGTAATCTTCTTAACATTACACCACTAAATCCCCAATCCATAGCCTGTTGTGCAGTAACAGTACCAATATCTACAAGTCGTTGTTTCCAAATACGATTGTTTGTTAACATTTCTTCTACTTCGTCTATACGAGAAGCAAATTGCTGTGAAAATAGAAAAAGATCTTCGCTTAAACCCAAGGGTAAATCTTGTGCAACTCYACCTGGTCGTATATAACTAGCATGCATTCTTGCTCCCGAAACTCTTTCATAAAATTCTAACAATTTTTCTCGTTTTTCAAAAGCCCAAAGAAAAGGGGTTAATGCTCCTACATCCATAGCATGGGTGGTTAATGCAAGTAGATGATTTAAGATCCGGGTAATCTCACAAAATAACACTCGTATATATTGAGCTCGTAATGGTACTTCACAATTACAAAGTTTTTCTACAGCTAGAGGATTCTCTAATAAGCCCCACTTAATTGGAGACT